TTGAAATGACAATGAACCGGGTTTACCTCTTCAAACTTAGTTTGAGTCTTGTCTTGAAGAGTTGAGAATAATGATTTTCTACTTATTGTTGTCTGAACATATTCCTATGTCAAACCACCATAAGAGTACTATTAGGTTATGACCTAAGGGAGATTGTGTTGTCCAGTATTTCTAAGGCGACTGCAAGGATTGCTATAGAGCAACTATGCACACAATATATGTTTTCCCCTTCCGAAAATTACTCTTTTTCGAAGCTAATATCCTAAGACTTCTGTTGAAGCTATTCAACCAGAACATTATAACTGGAAAACATCATAAATTTCATTGATAGGAATGAGCCAAAATACATAATTTCATACCAACAAGGGTGCTTCTATTTCCCCTTGCCTACTTGAGAAGTTTAGCTCATATTGAGGAGCATTACAGAAGAAGAAAAAAACTAAGAAAACCATAAAAACTAAACTAAAACATATATGGCTGAGAAGCACTAAGAGGAAGACGATGAAAACTACTCAAAGACTCTTTAAATTCTGGTCTTCCTTCCCATTTATACACAAGTGGTCCTTCAAAGGTTCCATCTTTGCCACTGATCTTGATCCAACGGTTGAGATTGAGTTTTTCTCTTGATGAAGGACGGTGCTCTGGCCAGCTCAGTCCTTATAGTACGAATTGGGTCACTTTTCTTTTGCTTTTTCTAATTTCGGTGTGCTACTTGCCTTGTAAAAATCGGTAAATTCCTTTCTTGGAGTGTGGGATTGTATTTCCTTTGTGTTGGTCCATTTCGGGTAATGGGACAAAAGGGTGGCAACAAGTTGTCTTTCTCTCTCCTCTGCTTTTGTCTTTAACTTACTTTTTCAGTTTTCACCTTTTTGCCTCCTTTTTTCCTTGCATTTGAGCCGAATTAGGCTTTTCTTCTCAAGGATCTTGGCCCCCCTGAAGCACAAACAGTCCTATTAGTAAGAAAATAACACCATTTGTGCCAGTCATGCCTGGGATCCATAATCAAACACTACTCTTGCCTCATTTAAATAAAATTGTTCCTACATGCGGAAATGCTCCTAAGTTATGAAATTTACGTAAAAAAATGGGTAACATTAGCATTCATAACATACAAAATAAATCTCTAAAATTAGAATCTATCACAAAACGTGCTGGTGAGAGAAATTCTTCAATTAAATACATTTACTTTTTTAAGAAAAACCGTACACATTAATTGTTAAATAAAATATGATAGTTAAGCAGTAAGCACAGACACCAAGTTAATGATTGCTACACATATTCCCTATAACCTAAGTTGTTTGAATTTTTTAACAGTCAAATATTTTTTTTTTTAAATTTCAGGTAATAGATATTTAAATCAATTGGTGTGAAGGGATAAAATATTTCATTGAAAATGCATTAACGCATATTAGAATTCAAACAATTTTGAAATTCATGATAGATATTTATCTATTCGATCTATTTTGTATAACATTGTCTTTGTTCAAACAATAAGGATTCTCAAATCTTTGGAATAGAAACTTGTCACCCGTCACCCAAGCAAGCCTCATTCTGTTAACTCTAAAAGCAACAAACGAAGAAGAATGACTCGATTTCCTCAGCATCAACAAAAGAATACGAATAGAGGGTTCATTCAATGGACATGGTCATAGGAACGGGCCTTCAAGGAAGCCATCATCTTCCCGGATGGCATGCCAGAGTTAGAGCGATGGTAGAGGGTTGCAACTCATGTCATAGGCAAGACCTTGGCAGCATAAAGGAACACAACTATGCATTGTTCCACCACTTGTATAAGGTTGAATCGGGTTGGGTTGAGTTGCCCATTTACTTTGATGATTCCATGACGGCTAAGGTGGAAGCAAATGATAGTTTCTCAGTGAGGAATATTTCGATTTAGAGGAAGAAAAGGTTGACTTGGATTGAAGAAAAACATAGGTATGCAATGTCTAAGAACCTCTTCTTATTTAATTATTATTTTAAAAATGGTTTTTCTTTGAGTTTTTACTTTGTTCGTTGTTTCTATTTTAATAGGTTAATTTAATGTATTTCCTTTCATTGGATTAAAAAAATAAGTATTTTTTTACACAAAATCATAACTTTTTGTAGTATTTTCTTTTTGACATTGTCTATATATTGTCAAACTTATTTTTTTTTTATTTTTTCTCATTTTTAACGCTAAAGCACACAACTAGTAGAGAAACATAATTTAAAAATATAATAGTAAATCAGTAATCCATGTTGGTTTTAAATTCGATAGAATTGATTTCAAAAGAATTGGTGTTAAAAAAATAAGTTTGTATTTGCGAATGATATTTTAAAAGTGAGTTTAAAAATATAATTAGTGGTAAATTAAAATCACTTTTGAATTTTTATTTTTATTTTTGTAAATTTCACATTGAAAATTATTTCTACTCATAGAAAAGTTAATAACTTTTTCCTCTCTCAAAATCAATTATGCATTACAATTGATTTTGAGAACCCATCATAAGCTAAATAAACAACTTAAGTTAGTTTGCGAATCCCTTTTTTTTTTCACTGCCACCATAATTATGTCACTAACCAAATAGGCAATGTGAAACTATTGTTATCATTTTCCTTATTCGACTTGCATTTTTCAACATAGTTGTTTTGATTTTTGTTGAGTTTTTTAAAAATAAAAATGAGATAATTTTTTTAACATTTTCAAAAATTTCACTTCCTTTATGTTTTGTGATAGGGTATTTCTCATTGGGATGGAGAAATATGGCAAAGGAGATTGAAAAAGTAATGCAAGCAAATTTTTCAAGTCAAAAACTGCAACTCAGGTCGCTAGCCATGCCCATAAATACTTTAAGCGTCAAGAATTCCCAAAGAAAGAGAGAAAAAGAAAAAGTATCCATGACGTAACCTCAATACTTGGTCTCTCGTCTTAATAATTTTCTCGCACATAATTTTCTAATGCAACATGTACAAGAACCACAACAAGCACAAGAGATAATCTAGAATTGGGTATTTCCTCCTCTTCATGTTCATAATGTTCCAATGCAATAGTTACAAGAGATGTTGCAAAATTGGGTTTGTCCTTTTGTTATTCCAATGGAGCAGTAACATGCAATGCATCAAGCACAAGAAATGATAAAGAATTTGGTTCATGTTCTTGATGTTCCAACGCAACAGAAAGCACAAGGAATCATGTAGAATTGGATTCATGCTACTAATGTTCCAATACAACAAGCACAAGATATCATGCAAAATTGGATTCATGCTCTTGTTGTTCCAATGCAATAGTTACATGCAACACAACAAGCACAAAGGGTTCCTCTTGATGTTCTAATTGCACAAGAAATGATGCCTTATCAAATGGGTGGATTTGGAGTGATACTATAGAATTTTCTATTTCCTTTTTTGCTCTTCCATATATGAGATCCAATTATGTAAACAATCAATCACCAATTAATGATATCAATATTTTCCCTTATTTCTCTTTTCCATAAATCTAATATGGTATCATAGAGGTACCATCCTCCTTGAGAGGAATTTTCTTCCATTGCGTCATTGCACTTTTCTTTCTCTTTCTTTACTTTTCTCTCTAATTTTGTTTATCACACCTTCTTTTCAGGTTTGCTTTTATTTTTTTTTCTCATTTCAGATCTGATTTTCGATCTTCCTTTTTTCCCTTAGCGTTTGCTCTGTTGGTGTCTTGTTTTCCTGTGATGTTTTTGCCATTGTTGACCGCATCTCTTCCTTCTCTGGTCATATTATCCAGTAGTGTTTCTGGCCAAGGATCTTTTCGATGGTCTTCCATTGCCAATATGTAAATGCATTGTTTATTCTATTTTTTTAGTCAAATATGATCTACATGTTTTTCGATCCATTTTTCGGTTCTATTTGGTATCTCTTGCTCTAATCTGACTTGTTCCTGGTCTGTTTGTCTTATTTGCCTCTTGTGGCGACGCGTTAGTGCCTTTTCAGCCATTTCTTTCTTTGTATTGTCCAGAGCTGGTCGTGATCCAGTTTTTCGTCTTCTTCGCAAGATCTACTCTTGATCTGTTTTTTTTTTCTCTGTATCTCTTTGATTTGTCTTCTTTTTCTTCTATTGATGTTTCCGCTGCTCATGGCGACTTGTTTCGGTTATCTCCAACCGTGTCACTTTTCTCCAGCATTATTTGTAACACCTCGTGTGCTCGTGGCGTATTATCATACTTATGATACTAGGCGCAACATAATTAATTATAATGCAGAAGCGAAACTTGAAGTATCACAATGACAGTCGTGTAAATACGTGATTAAACTTTTTCTTACATCTTATGTATTACGATGTACTCATTTCAACTCAATTCTTATTCTAAGTGGTTGCCTTTTTCCATTAAAACATCTTTTATCCTCAAAACTTGAAACTTTATCTCCATTGATCATAATCATGAGGCTTTCGATCTTTCAATCCCAAATGATGGCAGTTGACTACACAAATGTGATAATCTCTTATCATTTGTTAAACGAAATAGATGACATTCCGTCTTTATTGACATTCTATCTTTATTTCGGATAATTGAGAATAATTACCACTATGATAATTACCCTGATTGACATTTCATTATAATCCATACATAACTTGAAACATGTACATTAATCTATCTTTAAATCCATCCATGGATTCTTACCTATTGGGCTTTGTGCCCTTTCTTTATATCATGCATATATCTTACATCATTCATCATGCATGCATTTCAATATACTAAATAATTGTAGATACAAGGTATGTTTTGATGATAACAAAGTGACAACAACAAAAAGAGAAAAGCATTGATCAAGAGCAAAAAGTATCAACCATATGTGGATATCAAAGACGTATGATGTAGCCACATAAGAAGAGTAATGTCATGTCAAAGTGATAAGATCATTGGATCAAGAGCAACACCAAGATCAAAGACAACAAACCATGGATAACATCTAAGAGAAGCTCAATATCATAACCATAGTAAAAATGATCAAAAGTGTCAAGCATTGTCATATCCAACAAATCAAAGCATCAAGCTCAAGTAAAGATCCAAGACACAAGACATGAAGCTAAATCTAAAATCATATTTAGAATATATCTTTAGGACTTAGAATATATGGAAGAAGAGTATATGGTAAATGTGTGACATGGGAAGCGTGATAGTCCTGAATTGCATCTTAATATGCCTATTATGATGGTACCAAATAGGGAAGCGTGATAGTCCTGAATCTTAAAAATAGTTTTTTTTGTTCATAAGTCTAGGTTGGTACACTTCTGCAATAAAGCACAACTGATTCTAAAATTGCTTCAATACGATCCCAAATTGACAGCCTTAATGTCCAGGCCCGGATTTCTTTGATATTGCAATGACATTGAAGTTGAGAGAATCTGGATTTTTCTGGATCATGCTCTGGATGGCTTTAGCTGCATCCTGTTGCAAAATTTCGATACATATTAGTAACTAAAAAGAAGTAATGAAGGAATATATGAAAGGTAGCAAACCCAGCAACTTAAAACATGATCAAATAACTAAGACCCAGGATTGAAATGACACGGTCAAAGAAAAAGGCACACACAAGCAAGTGAATTTGTTGAACTATACGTGCAAGAATGTGGGGTAGCTATTTGCAGGAGGAGGAGGAGAGAGAAAACAAGGGGGGGGGGGGGGGGGGGGGGGGGGTTGTTTGAGGTTGAAGAGTAGGTGAGAGATGCTTAGGTAAAACCACTTTGCACAAGATTTCTCAAAGAGATGAGGATCGATTGTACTTTCGATCACAAGAAAAAACTTAACCGTTGCTCCAAGGTTCACCCTCAAGTGAGACATGCTTCTCTTATAAAATTCAGGCACAGTCTCCAGCCTGACTTTACAAAGCACCATCTATCTATAGAATTTCTCCTAAAAGGTGGATGCCTTGATCCAGGTAAAATGCCCGAGCCACTTTCTACAGAATTGTAGCCATTGTTTCTTCACGCATCATTTAAATTCAAAAGCCGACTATAGAACTACTTGACAACAATATTAGGGGAATCTTTTCTCTCTATACGCATTTGCTTTGTTAAATACATTATACAAGTCTTTAAGGAACAATACAATTATAGACTTAACATTGAAAGATACTTACCCTCAACAAAGTATTTGGGGAAGATGGACCATGAGATACTGGTCCTGACTTTCTTCCATCAAGCTCATAAAGTTCACCTGCATATGACACGATTTGTTAGAGGAAAGAATTTAGCAAATAAGAAGAGAAAGAATTAGAGGATTGAAAGTAGTTTGTATTTCCCAAATTCAATTATAATTCAGGATTGGGCTCCAAATGTGGACTGAGAGCACTTGGGCCTGTATTAGGAGATAGGGTCGTAACACTAATGCAAAGGAATTAATCAGATAAAATAAAGGCAACTGCAAAAGGGAGGAGAACTCAAAATTGATCCCAGATAAGTACAGTTATCCCTAATAGTTTTGAGATAGGCTTTATACAGCTGGCTCCCACGATTTAGATATTTAGGCTGCTAACTATTTTGTTGTTGTTGTCAACCATTGTATCTTGGTATATTGTTTTGCTCTTTTGATAAAACCACACAAAATAAAAAAGTAATAAGTTATATAAAGAAATTACCCTCCACACAAGCAAAGCAGATGAAATGAGTATCCACATTATCTGATGCCTGCATTACAAATATTTTAAACAAAAAAGTTGTAAGACAAGAAAGGAAACATTTTGAAATCAGCAATTTTTTTGTTGTCGGGGGGAGGGGTTATCTATGATTATGATACTTTCGAAGTTTTTCCTCTCAGGACAACAACATTAATATATAAAAACAATTTGACAGTTATATCTCCCAAAACATCAGCAATTTACATTTCCAGCTTCTTGAACTCAGCATAAATGATGTTACCTTTGTATAAAAATAACTCTGATAATTTTGCAGTTTCAGATTAAGAAAAATAGCCTTCCACATATGTTAGATGAGAGGGCTTCAAATTTTACCAGAATTGCCATCCCTTGAATACTACAGCTTATCTAAAACTCATTCAGCAAGTAACAGGGTTCTTTCTTACTTCCTATGATGAAGAGAAAAAACATTTATCAAGTTTCCTAGAGACATATTCCATAGTCTATTCTATGACCTACTCCAAGATGCTTTCAACTTGTGAGAAGTTTTCAATGATCATCTACCACCAAACAACTGACAAAATCATTCCACACACGCAGTATTAGTATTAAGCACTATATATTCAGGCTGTACCCCATGTGTTGCAGATCAGGTATTTTCCACTCATTTAGCTCCATCTAGAAAAAAAAGTTTGCATGGCAAGATGCTTTACTATTTCTTCATATATGCAAAATGAAAATGATTTTTATCCTTAATGCGGCATCTTGATTTTAGCCTTTCACTAGCCTTTTTTTTTAAAAAAAAAGAACAGTATCATTAAGATTAAGAGAAGAAAACGACAAGAAATTTTGAGGATAAGGGATCCTCCATAATAAAAATGAAAGACGAAACAACAAACAAAAAGTGAAAGCATCAAAGTTGCAAAGCTTCCCAATCTTATCCCAAGTAAGCTATTAAACTAAAGAAACCTCCTCAAAATAGGACCATTATGCTCCAATCAAATGCATCAAATAGTGGCATAGATTGCACATTGCCATGAAAATTTAGCATTTTAGCTTCTTTACTTCAACCAAAACCACTAAAGCTAGTCACCAAGAATTGGTCTAAGTACTGACTGAATTTGCTACAGAGAATTATTGAGTGAATTAATCACTCCTAGCTTAAGTGAATCAATTTAATTTTTTTTAAATTGCAGCTTCTTTTACTTTAAAAAGAAAATTCTCAGTCCCCTTTGGCCCATAAAAGTAAATCCTCATGTGTAAGACATACAACTTCAAGGAAGAAAAATTAAAGTAGGAAGCGGAGTTTGACTCCAAAAGGTTGGTATCTGTTTATAATTTTACATCTCATGTGAAGTTAAATGGCAATTTGTATGCAATAACTTTTCAAACAGACATCTTTGTACAAACTGTTACATAACAACATAAATTTGAACATTGGTTCAAATCTCTAAGTCTAAAAGGTCAATTCTCATTTCCAGGATTACTCATCATACAAGAACCTACAAATATAAATCTTTTGTAGGAAATCAGGATTGAAATATTTTAGTTTTTATTTCCTATTAATTAGTAGATAGGATTGATGACTCATTGATAGGATTGATTACTTATCGCTGAGTCATTCTTAGCTATTCTTTCTTGTATAAATATTCCTTATGTAATTTATTCATTGTACCAATACAGAAAAAACATCATTTTTTAATATTTCAATATGGTATCAGAGCTTCAGTGACCAAAAGGTCACGAGTTTGATCCTCACCGCCCCTCACTTTCTAGTGGAATTAAATAAGCACAAGGTAAAACAAAAAATTGAGCCTGTGTAATATCCACGCTTCAAGTCCAAAGGGCTCTTGCATGAGGGGGCGTGTTAGAGAATGATGGGCCTAAAAGTGAGTGGGCCAGTTAATTAGTTATTCTAGAATATTCTGTGGGTAGAATAAAAGGTGAGTGAGTGTGTGTAGTGAGGTATTCATGTATTCAGAATTGGTTAGTGGGGAAATGAGAGACCTCTAGGGAACTCTTAAGCCTAGGTATTTGGTTTGAGGGGGAGTTGAGGCTTTCTTGGGGTTTATTTTCTGCAAATTAGTGTACGTAAAAGAGGCATGGCCTCCATTATCTCTATAATTTCAATGTTAGAATAAAAGGTGAGTGAGTGTGTGTAGTGAGGTATTCATGTATTCAGAATTGGTTAGTGGGGAAATGAGAGACCTGTAGGGAACTCTTAAGCCTAGGTATTTGGTTTGAGGGGGAGTTGAGGCTTTCTTGGGGTTTATTTTCTGCAAATTAGTGTATGTAAAAGAGGCATGGCCTCCATTATCTCTATAATTTCAATGTTATTTTTCTGGTTCCATCAATTTGGTATCAGAGCATTTCTGATCTAGGGAGTGTTTCTGATCCAGACCTAAAAAAATAAAATAAAAAAATGATAGGATTCAGTTAGCGTAGGGAAGGTTTAGAAAAAGTGATGAAAGTGTTAGAGGAAACAATTGAGTGGATGAAAACACGGAGACTTGAATACGAGCAGATGAAGTCACAAGGTTTTAAAAAATTCGAGGAAGAAACTAAAGTAGAAGCGGAACAAGAGAAACCAGAAGTGGAAGCAGAAGAAGAAAAAAATGGAAGCTCACCAAAAGAAGAAGGGGAACTTGCTGAAGAAGAAGAGGCAGAAATAATAGTAGAAGAAATCGACAAAGAAAAAGAAGGAAAAAAAGAAAAGGTAATAGCAAGATGCATAGGAAACGAAGAAGGTGAAGCGCAGGAGTTTGACGAAGAATGAGAAGAAGAAGCCGAGGAGGACAGAGAGAACAGACCAGGAAAAACTGAAGAAAAAGAAGGAGAAGAAACAGAAAAAGAAAAGGAAGAATTGCACGAAGAAGAAGACGAAGTCAGATCTGATAAAGGGAGACAATGCGCAAAAAGATCTCGAACCAACAAAAAGACTGCGCGCGAACAGGAGCGGCGGCACAAGGAGTTCAAGCCATCGATTTTGCTACTCACCGGAGAAGATCACGGACACAAACGTGTTGCTGGCCGGACGTGCTTGACCAGGGACAACCCAAGGAAACAGATGAAGATGAAGAAGGTGCAGAAGAAACAAATCAGCGACGTAAAAAAAGGCATAAAGAAAGAGGGTCTACTGCAGTTTCTGCCAACAAGCCCACAAGCGGCGGACGGCAGTTTGATTCTCGTGAATTTGCAACAGAAGTGGCCGCTGGATGATGGAGGGATCAAATGGAAGCACATGACAACTCATCGTACGGGAGTGGGTTGAAGGAGATGGAAAGAGAGGAAGGGCAGACCTGGAATTCTGCCATATGGGTTTCCATTTTTAACGTTTTGGGCTTGGCCCAAAAGATATGGTGGTTGACAGGAAGCCAATTAGGCTTTATCCAATCTATTCAAATTACTTCAGCAGGTATATGGGACCAAGGAAAACTTGTAGTGATAAAATTTAATAATTGGATCCTGAAATTAATAAAGGTCCTAGAGCTGCATGGGCCCAAAGTGGTTAATGATGCTTCAATTAGACTTTATTGCGTTGCCAGAACTGCCAAGGAAAACAAAGTTGATTCAGTGATCAGAAATGCCAAAGAAAACAAAGCATGTTTTGTGCCCAAATATGCGGAAGAAAACTTAGCATTAGAAGACAACAAAGGCACAAAAATTTGCAATGGTGCAACTGGATACAAAAGCAACGTGTTAGCTGCAAGCAGGGGAATTTGTTTCAAGCAATGAGATCCTGGTGGAAGTTCAATCACACCCTTTCTCCTCTTTTTTTCACCTTGAGGACAAGGTGAGTTTTGAAGGGAGAGTATTGATGGGCCTAAAAGTGAGTGGGCCAGTTAATTAGTTATTTTAGAATATTCTGTGGGTAGAATAAAAGGTGAGTGAGTGTGTGTAGTGAGGTATTCATGTATTCAGAATTGGTTAGTGGGGAAATGAGAGACCTCTAGGGAACTCTTAAGCCTAGGTATTTGGTTTGAGGGGGAGTTGAGGCTTTCTTGGGGTTTATTTTCTGCAAATTAGTGTATGTAAAATAGGCATGGCCTCCATTATCTCTATAATTTCAATGTTATTTTTCTGGTTCCATCAGAGAATAATATAAACCAATAAAAAGGCTCTTATCCAATACCTTAAGATTTTGGGTTGAAGTAGTTCTTTACATGGTATCAGAGCAGATACGTTCCTACCTTAGATCAGCCATCTTCAAGGCTGAAACACCATCCCACTTCTGTCCAAACCCAGATACCCTATATACAGACCTCCAATCAAGAAAGTGGAGTGACCATTCGACTCAGAAGGCTCCGACGAGTTAAACGCCACCGGACCCATCACTGTCAGCCGCTGCACGCGACTCCACGAGCCACCACACACGGGGCCAACCTCCGGCGCGTGAGCTCCACGCGCCACCTTCCTAGTAGCTTTTTCCGCCGCGACCTACATAGAACAACTCGCCAGCATCTCCCTTTCTTGTTCCAGAGGTCAGACCTAAAAAAGAAAACACTTGATTTTTTCATCCACGGTCAAATCCTCTCTCTTCATTCATGTCTTCCTCAGAGCGTTCTTCTGCTTCATCATCTGTTCCCAATACTTAGTCCTCTGGAGACAACTTAAGTATACAGATTACTAGTCATTGGTTGAACGGTAAGAATTTTCTGCAATGGTTTCAATATGTTAAGTTGGTCATTCGGGCAAAAGGTAAGCTGGGTTATCTCGTGAAAAAATTAAGAAACCGGCTGATGATGCTCCTGATTATGAAAATTGTGAGATTAATAATTCTTTGGTAATGGCGTGGCTGCCTAATTCCATGGAACAACAGATCGGCCAAACTTATTTGTTCTTCGATACTGCCAAGGAGATTTGGGATACTATTCAACAAAATTATTCAAACCTAGAGAATACCTCTCAAGTCTTTGAACTGAGAAATAAGTTGAGAGACTTTCGACAAAGGAGTATGACCATTATTGAATATTTTACTGCATTAACAAATTTGTGGCAGGAACTAGATCTTTATACATGAGGCTCTCAATGATAAAAAATGGAGAGATGCTGTCCTTGAAGAAATGAATGCACTAGAAAGAAATGAAACTTGGAGACAGTGACCTTACCAAAAGGAAAACAAGTAGTAGAATGTAAATAGGGATTCACCCAGACTCATGGGATAGATTACCATGAGACTTTTGCTCCAATTGCTAAGGTCAATACCATCCGAGTTCTCTTATCACTTGCTGCCAACCTAAATTGGCCTCTGCAACAGTTAGATGTGAAGAATGCATTCCTAAATGGTGATTTACATGAAGAGGTCTATGGATCCTCCACCTGGTTTTAGTGTGTAAACTAAAAAAATCTCTTTATGGGCTGAAACAATCTCCTAGAGAATGGTTCAACAAATTCACACAAGCAATCAAAGGAAGAGGTTTCATTCAAGCACAGACTGATCATACTCTCTTCCACAAATACTCTAAAGGTGGTAAAATCGCTATTCTTATTGTTTATGTGGATGATATAGTTCTTACATGTGATCATAGTGAGGAATTGAATTCCTTGAAGAAGTATCTAGCAGCTCAGTTCGAACTAAAAGACCTTGGAGCTCTTAAATTTTCCTCGTTATGGAAGTTTGCTAGGAGCAAAGCAGGCATCACTCTCACACAAAAGAAGTATGCTCTAGATCTTTTGCTGGAAACAGGAATGCTAGGATATAAGCCTGCTGATACGCCTATGGAACCTAACACCAAGTTAGGTATTGAAGATGAGAATGAAGTGGATAAAGATCAATATCAGAGATTGGTTGGCAAACTTATTTACTTATCCCACACACGACCTGACATTGCCTTTGCGGTGAGTATGATAAGTCAATTCATGCACTCACCCAAGGAGAAACATCTAAATGCAGTCTACAAGGTGCTTAGATATCTCGAACACTCCAGGCAGAGGATTATTCTTTAAAAGGGGGTATGATAGGACAATTGAAATCTATACCGATGCAGATTGGGCAGGTTCGTTAGTAGACAGGAGATCTACCTCAGGCTATTGCACCTATGTGTGGGGCAATCTTGTTACTTGGAGAAGCAAAAAACACACAGTGGTTGCAAGAAGTAGTGCTGAAGCAGAATTTCTAGCTTTAGCTCATGGAGTTTGTAAAGGAATCTGTGTTAGAAAAGTATATAAATAATTGGTGGGCCTTCACTTAATAGCTTAAACTTTTGGGTAGAATTGGTTCTTTACATGGTATCAGAACTTTGGTATCACGGATTCGATTCTCACTTGTGGAATTTCTTAGCACAAGTAGGTGAGCCTGTACATTATCCACTCATCACGTCCAGTGGGCTCTCGTGTGTGTTAGAGAAATATATAAATCATTGGTGGGCCTTCACTTAATAGCTTAAGCTTTTGGGTAGAATTGGTTCTTTACAATTTGGTTAAGAAGACTTCTTGAAGAGTTGAAGATTTTATATTCCTTACCAATAAAACTATATTGTGACAACAAAGCAGCTGTCAGTATTGCTAAAAATCCTGTTCATCATGATAAGACAAAGCATGTGGAAGTTGATCGCCACTTCATCAAAGAAAAATTAGATGATGGAAGTGTGTATATGATGTATATTCCTACCAAAGAGCAGACTAAAGATATCCTTACCAAGGGCCTACACCTTTTAGCATTCGAAGACTTGATTGACAAGTTGGGAATGATCAACATTTACCTCCCAACTTGAGGGGGAGTGTAGGAAATCAAGATTCAAATATTTCAATTTTTATTTCTATTAATTAGTAGATATGATTGATGACTCATTGATAGGATTGATTACTCATCGTTGAGTCATTCTTAGCTTTTCTTTCTTGTATAAATACTCCTTATGTAATTTATTCATTGTATCAATACAGAAAAAACATCATTTTTTAATATTTCAATATCTTTATATAAAGGCCCTGCTCAAGTATCAGTTTATCATATCCAAAGAATAAAGATAAGAAGTGACACTAAGAGTGAATTTTTTTCAAATGCATTGGAATATATTTTCAAGATAAGAAGGCTGAGCTTTGATCACAACAACTGTATGACCAATACATCACATCATTCCCCCCCCCCCCCCCTTCCTTGAATTTACTGTTGCTTTAAATTTAATCAATAAAACTACCTCTGTTTCACCAGCAGTGGCTGCCATTGAATGAGCAACTTCCATCTCTCTGTCATTCTCAAGAAATACAGCACGCTGAAAGATATGAGAGTCAGAAAATGCCAAAAAAAAATTATATTTAGCTGACTAATTATGTCAATTGCTTGGTGAAAGATGATAAAGAAAGAGAAGAGGTCCGGGTGGTATGGAGAAATAACCTGCAATGGGTCCAAGCTTGCAGTAGATTTAAAGAATTTATCAAAGAATGACCCCTCAACTGATAACAACAAAAGCAACACAAACTGAAAGAGAATTAATGGTTGATGCACTAAAAAGGTTAATTGAGGCAATGCGATTGTTGAAAACTTACCAAGCTTGATTTCAGAAGTTATGTTCCCAAGAGCATGAAGAAGCCCTATTGTACCACAAGCATTACCCACAGTTTGCTTCATAAAATACACCTTACTGCTATGTTCCTACACCAGAACAACACATAAAAATCCTAATCAAGGCATGCAGCTAACAAAAATGATATGAAATATGCTACCCAAAATTCACATTTCTTAGACATTTTTTAATAAAATAATCAAATAAGCTTGTAAAGTGGTCCTACAATACACTATGGTAAAAAAAATTCGAATTTTTGAAGCAGGGAAATTAAATACCCACAAATAGATGAAAAGATTATATAAATATAGATATGTTCCTCACCGTTTTTTCATTTTCCTGTTGCAATCTCTCTTTTTCAGTCTGATAAGAGATAAAACTTTCACAAAATCAGAAGAAACACATATGAATATGATAGGAAAGTAAAGAAATCAAGAAAATAAAAAAGAACTCACAGAAAGAGAGGAATATACATATAAAATAAAAAGATTTAAATGAAAGAAACCTCAGTGGTCATGGGATAAAGAAAAAGCACGGCAACAACTGGCTTTGGAACCATTTCCAAAAGCTCTTCATCTAAGCCATAAACATCACAGCACTCTGCCTCATCCACTGGAAGGCCAAGACCCCAAAGGAACTGAAATCACCAAAAACAACTACAGACTTAAATTATGCATGCTACTAGAAAAAAAAGAAAAGAATTGCAAAACCAAAACTGAGAGAGAGAGAGAGAGAGAGAGAGAGAGAGAAGGGAGGGGGGGTCCAAAACAATAAAAAATTTCTTTTGCAAAATGTGTTATATGGATATGTCTTCAATTTACTATCCTAATCCCAGGCATCATTCAAACATTTTCCTCTTTGTAACAAAACAATAAAGCCGAAAAGCTAGCCGATACCTCCGCATTAAATAAATAAATAAATAAATTAAAAGGATTATGTTCTTAACACCAAATAGAAGACAATCGCCTTATCTTATCCCAAGTAAGTTATTTTCATCTAAAAGAAACCTCCTTAACATAGGATCATTATGCTCCAACCAAATGCATCGAATAGCGGCATATATTGCACATTACCATAAAAATTTAGCATTTTAGCTTCTTTACTTCAACCAAAACCACTAAAGCTAGTCACCAAAAATTGGTCCAATTACTGACTTGACTGAATTCGCTACACAGAATCATTGAGTGAATTTTCTATATGACTACTAGCTTAAATTATGCATGCAGCTAGAAAAAAAAATATTTGTAAAACCGAAAACGAAAGAGAGTAAGAGGAAAAAGGTCAAGTCCAAAAAAAAAAAAAAAAAAAAATCTTTTGCAAAATTTGTTACATGGGTATGTCTTCAATTAACTATCCCAATCAAAGGTATCAATCAAACATTTTCCTGTGTGTAACAAAACAATAAAGACGGATTCGGAGAAGCATAGTGATAAATATGAAGGATCAGAGGGAATACCTGGTTCATGACGTCAGGGTTAGCTTCAAGAGGAAGCCATCTTTTCGCAGAAGGTTTTTCGTCTAAGGTGGCCATTCTTAGCTTCTTCTTTTTCTTTCTTTCTAGTCTCTACTTTTTATGATATGCTTCTTTCGAAACTCTCTCGACGGAGATCATCTATATATATAATTGAGTTACGTGGATCATAGTGGGCCTGTGAGAAGCCCGAAATTTTAAGAAAATAAGCCCATTTAAAAAATTCTGCCTCTTCGTCTTCAATCCTAATTTTCGTAACAAAATAATTAATTGGATAAATTAGAAGCCAAATTGTCAGTGGTGGGATAACAAATTTTTAAAATTTACATGTTAAATAAAGGGAAAAAAGTGTTTCTAGGGATATAAGAGATAACTTTATCTCCTGTAATCCTAACAACGATGTTGTTTTCATGTTCAAGTTTAGAATAAAAGGTATTTTGAAAATTTTACTTTTCTTTTGTATCATAAATTTTACTAAGTATTTTTTTTTTACTAAAATATCATTTTGAGATCGCAGGATAAAATAATCTCCTATAATAAGAGAAACATTAATCTCAAAAGGACCTATTCGTGATTCACTTATGCAAATATAGCTTACCTCTTTTCAAATAAGTAATAATTAAATAATTTTTTAATAGTATTTAATATATTAAGAAATTAATTAATTCCAAATTGTAAAATATTAAGTTAGGTGAAAATCTAAATTAATATAAAAAATTATAATATATGTCATGCAAAAGCAATAATAAAAAATTAAATAATAATTATCCAGCAAATGTCACATGCAATAAAGTAAAGAAAGGGTGATCATTATGTTATTTAGCTCTACAAAATCCTATATGTATAAGCTAAGATAAGTCAAATATACAAATCCCATATAAGATAATTAGTGAAACTTCCAACTTCCAAGCATATACAAAAGCTCAGAGGAGGACAAATTATCTCGTGTCATGCTAATACGTGGACCTCGTATGTGGGTTTTTATAACTTGATATAAGGCACTTATTTAGCTCTAAAAGTGACTTCCGATTTTTTATGAAGTTAAAATAAAAAAAATTGGTTCAAACCAATAAACCATTAGTTTTTACTAATTTTGACAAGTTTACATCCACTTGGCCAATTTTTAATCGTTTCATGGCTCCTCTTGTAGCTGAAAGGATCAGACAATATCATTTCACCAATTTTTCAGTTGAACAAGAGAGTCGAATCTGATTTTTTAGTATATGATTTTCAGATGATGCAATACTCTTTTGCAGAACTTTAATTTACACATATAAAAAGTATTACATTTAGTTAACATTGGCTTCCATTATATATGTTGAAACTATTAATAAAAAGAAAAATACTTCAAATTTTAGACATACCCACTGATTACAAGAAAAACATGGTAGCTTGAGACTCCGTTGTGGAAAATTAAGGTGAACAGGTGATATCACATAAAATAAGGGTATCTGTTTATAAGTATGGACTCAGGAACTTCGGCTAGGATTGGCTCTGAAGTGACTTTGCTAGCAGCTCTGCTCTACCATTTCCTAGCTTTTAAGGACGCCGGCATTCCCCAGAATTAGAAATCACAAAGGGCGAATGCATCATTGAAATACTTTTTTTTGTTTTTTTTTGTTACAACATCATTGAAACCCTTTAGCCTATCAAGTTGATAGCTTTACCATCCATCAGCTATTGAATAGTAATATACAGGTTCTTAAGGGTCGCTTGTTTATCCAGATGAACGTTAATCTTTGAGCTGAATCAATACAAGTGTATACTATAAGTTCCAAGAAGATTAATTTATTGTCTGGAAACATCCGAAAGAAAATTTTGAATTTTTACAGTAATAATGAGAAGAAGTTCAAAGCCAATTCATTGAAAAAAGGAATATGAAATTTTTTGCTTTATTAGGAATACAGTGTCTCAAGGTGCACGATATGAGACACTTCTCAGCTTTGGGAATTTAACTGTACTCAGAATGAGAAAGACTGTTCCCAGAAAACTGTAGTGAAAGTTCCTCATCTAGTAAGTTGCCTCCGGGCACTGGATCAATCCTATCACAACATGAAAGACATTCCTCTAAAGCAACATAGACAGAGGGATTATCAGCAGAGGACCACTCCTTTCACTCACCAGTATACCTTGGTTTCCGCTTCTCAGCAAATGCAGCCAAGCCTTCTAATCGATCTTGAGTGTTCAACACCTGATCATAGCAATTTTCTTCCAAAACCAAAGCTGATGTCAGATCAGTCTCATCTCCCTCGTTAATAGCTCTTTTAGCCATCCTTATAGCTACAGGACCCTGTTAAAAATTTAATGTAGCTGAATATAACATACAAGAACAATAACAACAATCAAGCCTTATCTAAAAAATCAAATTTTCAGTCAAAGAGGAGGGTTGTTCTATTTCGGTAATTTCACTTTATACTATCCAAGCACCTCAATCTCACAAAATTAATTTTAGGCTAACATTTACATTCTAATCAATAGTAACTTTGCACAAACTACCCAAATATACTCTTAATTTGCACATTCTGATAGATTACAGGGGTCAATTGCACCAAACAAATCATTTGCAGGTGTTTGCACAGGAAGTAAGTAAAGTTTTTAGTAATGCACTTATAACATGAGCAGTCCTTTCGTGTTTTCTCAAGAGATCAATTTCTTTGAAAGATGTTAGAATATTAGATATGATATGATTAGATTTGATTAGATATGATTAGATTCTGTTTTATCCGTAAATAGTCTGACTGTATTCTGACTGTATTAGGATTAGGTTTGGATTAGGTTTGGGCCTTACACTTAAGCCCATTAGGGTCTCTATATATTGTAACTCCCTGACACAGATCAATACACAACGTATTCTTTTACATTTAACTTGGTACCAGAGCTATTTCGTTCTGGGAACCCTCGCTTCCGCTTAGAAATCTTGTTCTTCGCTTTAAAACAAGCCCACTGCTTAGGAGTCATCTTTTCTTTGCCGTGCGTCCTTCCGGTAAGACATCAAGGGCTGTAAGTCCTCTCCAGGCATCTTCTGCACGTGTCCACATCCCCAAACAGTCACCGGAGCACCATCAGCCACTGTTCAGGCTGCCGGAGTACTTTTCCGGCGAGTTTTCAGTCTGGAACGAACGCGAACAGAACCCTCTCCTCCCGGCGACCTGCTCTGTGGAAGTCCGGCCACCATCGGAGTTGTCACGCGCTCTCACGCGCCTCCAGTCTTCTCTGCGCGTGGGCTTCACGCACCACCTTCTGCCGGCGCGTGAGCACTATTCCGGCGGCTTTTTCCGGCCGGTCTTGGACAGAGAAGCTCGTCTTCTCCTCCTCTTTCTGGATCTGTGGTTGGTTCTTTGTGGGTCTGACTTTTTGTGCGCACCTCTTCTTGATTGGTGATCAGGTTCGTTTCTCTTTATTCGGTTTGTATCTTTGTGATTTGATACTATGGCAGCAAACCCTCCAATTCATTCGGAGGTCAAGTCTCCATCTCCTCCTTTGAGAAATTCTCCCAATATCATCTCTACCAATATTGGGTCCATTACCTCTTCAAAATTGAAGGGATCTGTTAATTACAAGAACTGGGCCACCTCTGTTCGAGTTTGGTTCTTTGGACAAGGATATGGGAACCATCTCACAACTAAGTCTACTGATGTCCCTAAGGAGGACAAGTCTGATTGGGAAAAGATTGACAACCAGCTTCTGAGTATCCTCTGGCAATCCATTGATCCGATTGTCTTGGATATCTTTTATTCATTTCAAACTTGCACAGAAGTGTGGGAGGAAGCAAAAAACCTCTACACTAATGATGTTCAGCAGCTCTATTTCATTATCTCTCAGTTTATGGAATTGAGCAAATCATCCGACATTCAGATGGAGACATATATTGGCAAGAGTCGCTCTTTGATGCAGGCATATTTGGATATGCTGCCTTACCCTACTGATGCTACTGCATATCGGAAACAGGTGGAACGTCTCTTTATGGTTTCCACACTTTCTGGCCTTCCCGAAGAATATGATAATGTTCGTGATACTATCTTGACTAGTGGGGAGCCTGATCTATCCATGACGTATCAGCGTCTTCTGAATTTGAATAAGAAATCTGCTCCTGCATCGTCTTCTGTTGTTGATTCTACTGCTCTAGTTTCCCGTACTGATTTTCGCAGGCATATTGGAGGTGGACATGGTCGTGGTAGAGGCCCAGGAGGCCGGGGCCCAGGAGGCCCAGGAGGACGTAGCCCAGGAGGTCGTGGCCCAGGAGGTCCAGTCGGACGTGGTCAGCGACCTCGTTGTCATTACTGTCAGCAACTTGGTCATTATGAGGAACGCTGCTACACCAAGTATCCTCACATGCGACCTTCTTTTGCTGCTAATGTAGCTCAATCGGATACTGCTTCAAATGGTTCAGTCTCTCTCTCCTCTGAAGAATATGCAGCATTCCAGGCCCTTCTCAGGAAGTCCTCTCCTCAATCTCAGGCCTCTGCTTCAGAAACTGGTAATCCTGTTGCTTGTGTTTCTCTTTCTGCATCACTTGGTCCTTGGATATTTGACTCAGGTGCTACTGATCACCTCTGTGGTAATAAGGAACTCTTTTCTTCCCTTACATATTCTAATAATTTACCCTCTTTTACTCTTGCTGATGGAACTAAGGCCCCCGTTCATGGGATTGGACAAATCTGTCCAACCTCCTCATTGACCTTGACATCTGTCTATTACATTCCTCACATCCCTTATAATTTAATATCAGTTAGTAAATTGATCAATTCTCTTAATTGTATTGTCACATTCTCAAACCATTCTGTTTCTGTGCAGGACCCGGGTACGGGGAAGATGATTGGAGTGGGCCGTGAGTCACGGGGTCTGTTCTACCTTGATGTGCCAAGTCCTTCAGTTGCTTGTTCTCTCACAGAATCTCCACAGCTCATCCACAGTCGTCTCGGGCATCCTAGTCTTGCGAAATTGCAGAAGATGGTTCCTCTTTTATCCGGTCTTCAAACTTTAGATTGTCAGTCATGTCAGCAAGGAAAGCACATACGCTCCTCCTTTGCTAATCGAGTCAATAAACGAGCTGATGCTCCTTTTTCAATTATTCATTCAGATGTTTGGGGTCCTAGTCGTAGTGTGTCTATTTTAGGTTTTCGGTATTTTGTCACCTTTATTGATGATTTCTCCCGTTGTACTTGGATTTATTTAATGAAAAACCGTTCTGAGTTGTTTTCTATTTATCAAAAGTTTTCTGCTGAAATTCATACTCAATTTGGTGCTTCTATTCGTATTTTACGTAGTGATAATGCTAAGGAGTATGTTTCTGTTGACTTTTCTCACTTCTTAGCCACACAGGGTACTTTACACCAAACCACTTGTCCTCACACTCCACAACAAAATGGAGTAGCTGAACGTAAGAATAGACATCTCATTGAGATTGCCAGGACTCTTCTTATTCACATGCATGTTCCTCTTCACTTCTGGGCTGATGCAGTCCTTGCTTCTTGCTTTCTCATCAACCGCATGCCTTCATCTGTGCTTAATAATGATATTCCTCATAACTTATTTTTTCCAGATGTTCCTCTCTTTCCTCTATCCCCACATGTTTTTGGTTGTACCTGTTTTGTTCATGATCTCACTCCTGGTAAGGATAAGTTAACATCCAAAGCCTTTAAATGCATTTTTCTTGGTTATTCTCGTCTTCAAAAGGGTTATCGTTGTTACTCTCCTGACCTCAAGCGTTACTTAGCTTCCGCGGATGTCACCTTTTTTTGACCAACAACCCTTTAATTCTATCCCATCTCCATTGTCACAGGTTGATCATGTTCTTCCTGTTCCTTTTCTTGACTTGTCTTTGCCAGATGCAGGTGCTTCTACTCCAGATAAGCAATCACCTATTGCTCCAGTACCTAAGAACCGTCCACTTCTCACTTATCAGCGTCGTAAGACAGTACCTCCAGTCGACTCGACCCCTGCTGACTCATTGCCCTCTGCAGTTGATTCTTCCCCTCCGGATCCTTCACCAGAGGCTCTTCCCATTGCTCAAAGAAAAGGTACACGTACTACTCGTAACCCTTATCCTCTTTATACCTTGTTGAGCTATGATCGCCTTTCTCCTCCTCATTTCACCTTTGTTTCTAGTCTTTCTTTTGTTCCTATTCCTAAGACCACAGGTGAAGCACTTTCCCATCCAGGATGGCGCCAAGCGATGCTTGATGAGATGACCGCACTTCATACCAATGGCACTTGGGACCTTGTTTCTGCTCCTCCAGAGAAGTCTATAGTTGGTTGTCGCTGGGTGTTTACTGTGAAAGTTGGACCCGATGGCCATGTTGATCGTCTCAAGGCACGCCTAGTTGCCAAGGGTTTTACTCAAATCTTTGGCCTTGATTATAGCGATACATTCTCTCCAGTCGCTAAGATGGCGTCCGTCCGCCTATTTCTTGCCCTTGCTGCTGTTCGTCACTGGCCACTCCTTCAACTTGACATCAAAAATGCCTTTCTTCATGGTGATTTACAAGAAGAAGTTTACACGGAGCAACCACCTGGTTTTGTTGCTCAGGGGGAGTCTGGGAAGGTATGTCGTCTTCGAAAATCCTTATATGGTCTCAAGCAGTCTCCTCGAGCATGGTTCAATCGCTTCAGTTCTGCTGTACAGGCGTTTGGCCTAATTCGCAGTAAAGTTGACCATTTTGTATTCTATAGGATTACATCTCCTAACAAGTGCATCTATTTGTTAGTCTATGTTGATGACATCATCCTCACCGGAAGTGATCAAGACGGAATCCATCAGTTAAAACAACATTTATTCAGTGCATTTCAAACAAAGGACCTTGGGAAGCTGCGTTACTTATTGGGAATTGAGGTGGCGCAATCTAGACAGGGCATTTCTATCTGTCAAAGGAAGTATGCCTTGGATATCCTAGAGGAGACTGGTATGTTGGGGTGTAAACCAGTTGATACACCCATGGATCCTAATGTTAAGTTATTGCCCAGACAGGGGGAGCCGTTATCTGATCCTGGACGTTATCGAAGGCTGATTGGGAAGCTCAATTATCTTACTGTGACTAGGCCAGATATTTCTTTCGCTGTCAGTACGGCCAGTCAGTTCCTTGATTCCCCTTGTGATTCACATTGGGATGCTGCTGTGAGGATCCTCCGATACATCAAAGGAGCACCAGGAAAAGGTTTGTTGTATTCGGATCAGGGAAATACAGAAATTTGTGGTTACTCAGATGCCGATTGGGCAGGATCACCCTCGGACAGACGCTCTACTTCTGGTTATTGTGTCTTCTTCGGAGGAAACTTAATCTCATGGAAAAGCAAGAAACAACCTGTTGTTTCCCGATCTAGTGCAGAAGCTGAGTATCGTGCAATGGCAAATACTACCTGTGAGTTGATCTGGTTAAAGCAGTTGATTCAGGAGCTTCATCTTTGTGAACAGAAACAACCCATGACACTCATCTGTGATAATCAAGCTGTGCTACATATATCCTCTAATCCTGTTTTTCATGAGAGGACCAAACATATAGAGATTGATTGTCACTTCATTCGGGAAAAGATTCAGTCAGGAGAAATCAAGACAGCTTTTGTCAACTCGTCTAATCAACTAGCAGATGTTTTCACTAAAGCTCTTAGAGGTCCTCGGGTTGAATACATTTGTAACAAGCTTGGTGCTCATAATATATACGCACCAGCTTGAGTGGGAGTGTTAGAATATTAGATATGATATGATTAGATTTGATTAGATATGATTGGATTCTGTCTTATCCGTAAATAGTCTGACTGTATTAGGATTAGGTTTGGATTAGGTTTGGGCCTTACACTTAAGCCCATTAGGGTCTCTATATATTGTAACTCCCTGACACATATCAATACACAACGTATTCTTTTACATTTAACTAAAGACAAAAATGAAAAATCAACATTTGAAAAAAATCAGTCACTGCCATTTACGTATGGACGTTCACTGGCACAAAAGACCTGATCCCTGCATTTCTAAGTGACATAGAGCACGCTTTCAGTTTCAGCATGATATATTTCCCAGAGAGATACCTTTTGATTGATATCCCGAGCAACTGCAAGTGCCTTTAAGTAAGCTTCGCCAGCAGGTACACAGTAGTTGACAAGACCTGCATTAACGGATATTTATGCAGCTATATATCATTGATATTAGTAGGGGGGGGAGAGAGAGAGAGAGAGAGAGTAGTGGTATGCTTTATTTGTGAAAAGGAGCGGCAAGAAGTTAGTATTATTTTTTTATAGTGACAAAAAATTAGTATTTGTTATTGTATTGAAAGTAGCACAACAGCGGTGGCCTTCCTCTTTACTCTCCTGGAGTTCAACAGGTATTTACTAAGAGTAGACTGCCATAATGTTGGCAAGGGAACTTTGATAGGCACAAACTAAAACTTTAATTTTAGAATGTCTTGAATGTTTTGCAAGTAAATTGTAAGTTTACAGATACAATGAGCATGTATAATGTATACTCAAGATGCTCCTTTATCTTTGTGCTTGATGATGGCATCTTTACAAACTAGAGAAAGAAAAGAACCGAGTGAATCAACATACCCATGGACATAGCCTCTCTGCCATTAATCTTTCGACCAGTAAATATAATATCCTTTGCTATTGCTTTTCCAACCAATCTAGGTAATCGCTGTGTTCCACCTGCCCTGTGCACAACAGGATTCCATGAGAGGTGATCCATACCAAAGATCTAAAGTGTTCTATGCAATACTACGACAAATTTCCAAACACAAGGAAGATATAAAAATAGCTGGCTATTTATGCTCATTGTAGGCTTAGGGGCTTCAACTCAATTGCAGAGCAAGAACCTATAAGCTTGATAGTAGCTCAGGGAGTATAGGCAGCAGTCGTATTTAATGCTCATAAACATAAACAAGTCATTAGTGCATTAATTGCTAGACAGTATCCAGAAAAACAAGAAACTATGCTCCCCAGCATATTGTGCTGACCTTATTGCGCTCATTCATAAAAAATTAAAAACCAATTTGTCTAAATATTTTAGATATATTATCCACAATCTATCTTGAAACTTCATCTTTATCCATTATTAGATGGCAGAACTGTACAGATACATGACTGAAATAGGCGAGGTCAAAGATACAATATGCCAAAGAGAATTTGTAACAGCATACCCAGGAATTATAGCGAGTCCTGTCTCTGGCAAACCCATCAGAGCATTTTCCCCTATGCCATGAAAGAAGAAACAAATAAAAAAAACACACAAAGAAAAAGTCTAATACTTGCATCACACTCAGAAGCATCCAACAGATCCTACAAAAAATAGATTCAATTTACAGAAGTACTGAATATTTAACTACCACATATTCGAATATCACATGCCAGAGCCATCTCAAGTCCACCACCAAGAGCTACTCCTTCAATAACCGCAATAGTTGGTATACAAACTGCCTGAATACAGAAACAAATATTATGCTACTTTCAAGGAGCAGTGTTGACAAAAATGGGAAAACAGGTGATACAAAACGCGTGAAGTAAGTACGCAACCACAGGAAAAGAATATAATGGAGTCCACCTATATTTCTTTTCATTACCCACCTTTATTGCACGAAGCTTCATCTGTCATTCATTCCCAATATAATGTTGAAAAGTACACAAGTATTAGAATGTAAATAATTGAAAGGTGCGAACTAACCTCAAGAACTGAGAATGTGGAGCGAAGAGAATTCACAAAATCCTTAACCTCGAATTGATTCATGGTCCTGCGCTCCTGCAATCCAATACAAGAGAACTAACCTCAAATTGTTTATGAGAGAATTGGTTGTTTGACATGATATCATAGCCTTGTTTGTTACTATTTTCTATCAGTTTGTTACTATATCATAGTCACTATAGAAGAAAATTGATAATTCAAAGAGAACGAAAAGTAACAGAGAAAAACAAGAACAGAGAGAGAGAGAGAGACGAACGAAGAAAGTATTTCAGCATTATGAAAATTGAATGAATCTGTACACATGGCTCTATTCTAATATATGAGAGCATAAGGGGGAGTGACTCAGCAATCAATTACAACAGCTGTAACAAATCCGTTACAACAGCTGTAACCACAATGTAACTAAATACAAATTGTGTAACTGAATTGGAACTACACTAAAAGGATGCAGCAAGATAAAACTATATCTTGTGTTAATACACCCCTGCAAACTCAGAGTCTCTGATTAAAAGTTGTAGAATCCACTACTCTGAGTTTGTCACGAAGAGAAAGGAATCGAGGAGCTCCAAGAGGTTTTGTGAGAGTATCTGCAACTTGGTCAATGGCAGGAACATGAATGACTTGCACTTCCTTGGCAATAACTTTCTCTCTAACAAAGAAAATATCAAGTTCCATGTGTTTTGTACGGGCATGTAGCACTGGCTTATGAGACAAAGATATTGTACTAAGGTTGTCACAATAGATGAGAGGAGTACTGAACTGTATCTGCAATTCTTTGAGTAAGGACTTCAACCATAGAATCTCAGCAGCAGCAAGAGCAAGGCTCCTATATTCTGCTTCTGTGCTTGAACGGGCTACAACCGATTGCTTTTTGGACCACCATGAAACAAGATTGGATCCAAAGAAAACACAAGCTCCTGAGGTAGACCTTCTGTCATCTGGATCACTTGCCCAGTCTGCATCACAGAAGGCTGTAATAGAAAAATGGCTGCTAGGATGACTAGGTTGCAGCACCAACCCATGCTGAATGGTACCTTTCAAGTATCTGAGTATACGTTTAATGTAACACCCCGTTCTAGAACCGGTTTGTTAACAACGCATTATGATATTAAGCGCAGTTACAATCACATGGGTTCAATTAAAATCCGGATTAAATTTTTCATTTTAAAACATGCCGAATTTATAATACCCAATTTCGTGATCATAACCGTATTACCTTGCGGAAACAGATAAATTAAGCTTAACATCATGTTCTTATTACATCTTTAAACCATTAAGTTACTTCCTATTTATTTCCCAACTTCTATATTGTAGACCTCTTCATTAGCTATGCTTGGCTTCAAACCGCGCTCAAATCGGAGCACTGTAGCCCAAGTTAGGACAAATTGAAGCAACACAAGAGAGTGTTGGTCACAGGCCCCGCGCGCTTCAGCGCGCTACCGGGCGCTCAAGCGCGCGCTATCGGGCGCTAAAGCCTCCATCTGGGCGCTTAAGCGCACGGAGGCAGTAAGCATCAGACATTCCAGTGTGGATGGGCGCTTAAGCGCGCAACAGGGCGCTCAGGCGCGCAACCCTGGGCGCTTAAGCCCCACCCTGGGCGCTAAAACACGAGGGGACAGTAAGCATCCCAACTTTCTGCAGCAAAGGGCGCTTAAGCGCGGGCCAGGGCGCTCCAGCGCGCAATCCTGGGCGCTTAAGCCCCCACTTGGGCGCTCCAGCGCGAGGAGGCAGAATGCATTGGCACTCGCAGGGGCAGCAGGGCGCTTGGGCGCGCTCCTGGGCGCTTAAGCGCGCTGCCAGGGAATTCCAATTCCCACATTTTTCAAGTCCAAGCCTAGGGGAAGATGCATCCCCATTACAAACCCCAATTATCCACGCCCCAAACTAAATCCTAGCACTCATCCAACCTCTCCTCATGAGATTTAGCTAGAATTTGGGCAGCATGACCTTTGTTTTCTCATCGTTTACCAATTTAAACAAAGGGTACCTAATTGATTTTCAGCCCAACCAATTCAACAACTCACTACATAACAAGCATGCATATATTGAATTTCAAGTAGGCATCATTTACATTACATATCCTTTACAAATCATAGAACTTAGCTTACAAAACACTATGATCATTCCCTTGGCTCCCATCAACAAAAGGTGTAACCAAAGGCATGAGCATAGGCTAAGTTCATCCAATGAATCAAGATATACAAATGACCATGGGCTTTCAAAATAAAATCCTATACATATCAACTACAAAAGGCATGCATGAACTCAAAAGAAATGCCACATTTCATGCATAATCCAGATATGGCCACTTGCCACCAGAGGCTCCTGCAGCATCCTTACCTGAAAGGGGGTCCCCACAACACGGGGTGAGATATACGAATATATCCAGTAAACCAGGGGTCCTTGGAGCATCTCTCCACCCCACGGTTCCATATCAGTGTAATAGCAATAACAATAATAATGCAGTAAATACATATCTATGCAAAGTGCAATACATCTCCAGGAGAAATCCCAAGGTCCGAAGGCTTACCTCAATGCTTCAGTCGACCTTTGTTCTTCACCAATGTCAACAATACTCTACTCCAAAACCAACACCTACACATGGTGTAATGCAATCAACACATTGCATCCAAGAGTATTTCACAATCAACCATCAAATACTCAATTCAAAACACCACACAAGTGTGAGCTTACCAATTCCAATGAGCTACTCAAGCTCCATAGCTTGTTCAAGCTGTTGATCACTCACGGTCGGTCCAAATGTCTCAATCCTAGACATCATTAGGACACAATCATCAATCAACCAAGCCATACCATTTATCAACAATGCAAGAAATCCAATATCAAGCATCATATTCTTGCCATTTTACAAGTATACTCATTTAGCTATCTAAGCTCATTTTCACCGATTAAATGACATTCCTAGCATTTTCCATAACAAGCTCTAAGCTCCATTCTTCCTAGAACATAGCTAATTCAACTACATTTCATCAACATCCCAATTTACTATTCATAAACCCTAACTCATGCAAATTTCAAGGAATCGTGAGGTTCAAGGGTTAGAATCTTACCACCAATGGTCACACAACCAAGCAAGGAGTGTTCCTCAAGCTCCCATGGAGGTTGAACTTCCCAAAACCCCAAAATCACTCAAATGGTCGAATTTTTTAGGGTCAAAATCTCTCTCCACAAAGCTCCCCACTAAGAACTAAGCAAGGATTATGAAAGAGGAGGAGATTTTGAGTGGTTTAGGCTTTGGAATCACTCAAAATGGTTGAGATTTGCTCTCTCTCTCTCTCTTCCTCCCTTTCCCTCCTTCTCCTTCTTCTTCCTCTCTTCTTTTCTCTGATTCTGGCGACGGGAAAAATGGGGTGGGAAATGGGTTTCTTTTGTGTTTTTAAAAGGATGCTGCAGGAGCCTCTGGTGGCAAGTGGCCATATCTGGATTATGCATGAAATGTGGCATTTCTTTTGAGTTCATGCATGCCTTTTGTAGTTGATATGTATAGGATTTTATTTTGAAAGCCCATGGTCATTTGTATATCTTGATTCATTGGATGAACTTAGCCTATGCTCATGCTGAGTATACGTTTAACTATAGTCCAATGCTCTTCCAAAGGTTGAGACATGAATTGACAAATCTTGTTAACAGGGTAGCTGAGTTCAGGTCTGGTCAAGGTGGCATACTGCAATGCCCCAACAATGGATCGAAAATAAGAAGGATCAGAAAAATAATTGGATCCAGTTCTAGACAGCTTACACCCAGATGGCATGGGAGTTGAGATGCTCTTGGCTTCAGCCATATTGGCCTTGATTAGCAAATCTTTGATATACTTGGACTGAGAAAGGATGACAGCTCCAGAAGTTGCTCGTTTAACCTCGATGCCTAAGAAATAATCAAGAACACCAAGGTCTTTGAGTGCAAATTGGGAGTTAAGTTGAGCAATCAGAGACTGAACAAAGTTTGAATCACTGCCCGTGATGATAATGTCATCCACATAGACTAACATGAAAACACAGTGTGTGTCTTTCCGGTATAAGAACAATGAAGGATCACATTTGCTTGCAGAGAAGCCTAGCTGCAGTAGGGCACTCTTTAACTTGTCAAACCAAGCTCTGGGAGCTTGTTTCAGCCCATAGAGAGCTTTCTGTAACCTGCAAACAAGAGACTTATCATTAGATTCAAACCCAGGAGGTTGTTGCATATAAACTTCCTCTTCAAGGATTCCATTTAGGAAGGCGTTATTGACATCTAGTTGACGTAGGGACCATCCATAGGATACAGCAATGGTCAGAACAGTACGAATAGTAATAGGTTTGACTACAGGGGAGAATATTTCATTGTAGTCAAATCCAGCTTGTTGATGAAACCCTTTGGCAACAAGTCTTGCCTTATATTTATTTATACTGCCATCTGAATTTTCCTTCACACGAAAAACCCACTTGCAGCCTATGGCTCTTCTGTTAGGAGGAAGTGAGACTAAGGTCCATGTTTCATTAGCTTGTAGTGCATCATATTCAGCTTGCATAGCTGAGCGCCAGTGAGGGGCAGCCAAGGCCTATTTCATCGAGCTTGGTTCAAGAGAGGTGGTAAGAGCCTGTGGTTTTTGTTTAATAGGGATGGAGGACAGATTGCAACAATAATCTTTGAGATAGGTTGGAGGATGTGATGATCTTGTGGACTGTCTTACAGGAACAGTTTGGTGTTCAGGCTGAATAATAGGAGCAGAATCAGTCATGGGATTGTTGGAAGTAGAATTATTGAGAGGAGAAGATGTGTCAGTGAAGCAATCCAAATTAGGAGAAGAGGACGTATTAGTGTGGAAATCAGAAGTATTGGGAGGAGAAAAATTACCAGGGCAGTGTGCAGGTATGGAGATCGTAGGAGACTGTGTTGTTGGCAAAAATTGACTTTGTGGTACAAGAGGTATAATGCTGCTTACAGGAGAATGAGTGCTGTTAGAAGATGAGCAATCAGATTGGAACCAAGAGTTGTAAGGGAATTTGCTTTCATTAAACAGAACATCCTTAGAAATAAACAACCTCCCATCTGAATTAAGACACTTGTATCCTTTGTGATTAGGTGAGTATCCAAGAAAAATACATTCACTGGATCTGAACTCAAGCTTATGTGTGTTATAGGGCCGAAGAAAGGGGAAACAGGCACACCCAAAGACTTTAAGGAACTTGTAGTCAGGAACAACCTTATATAACTTTGTATATGGGACTTCAAAGTTTAATGGGGCAGTAGGAAGACAATTGATGAGGTAGACAGCTGAGATAAATGCTTGATCCCAAAATTTTAAAGGTAAAGAGGCATATGCAAGAAGTGTAAGACCAGTTTCAACTATATGGCGATGCTTTCGTTCAACTACACCATTTTGGTGATGAGTGTGTGGACAGGCAATCCGATGAACAATTCCTAGTTGTTGGAGGAGTTGAGTGAATGATCGAAATTCACCTCCCCAATCTGTTTGGATAGCTTTGATTGATGTTTGAAACTGATTAGAGATAAGAGTAGTGAATTGTTTAAAAATTGGAAGAGCCTCTAATTTTAATTTTAGAGGATAAATCCAAGTGAATCGACTGTATGCATCAACAAATGAGATGTAGTAAGTGTATCCCATAGTAGACTTGATTGGGGCTGGACCCCATAGATCACTGTATATAAGATCGAAAGGCTTGTTGTACTTAGTGGAAGAAAGTGTAGAAGGCAATCTGTGAGCTTTTCCCAAGCAACAAGCAGAACAGAAAAACAAGTCATCTTTATTAGGAATAGAGATATTACAGGAACTAAGTATAGCTTTGAGAGCCTCACTATGAGGATAACCCAAACGACAATGCCACAGATTGTACAAGTAATTTGAACCTATTGCTTTGCTAGTTACGACAGCAGTGTTATTTACACAAGGTAATGATACATCAGTGGACTTGGGAGTAGAAGACACATAAGGAGAACACATGGAGTTACACAGGGAAAGATTAGGAGATAAAGTGGAATGACTCTGCTGACTTGTTTGTCTTGGAGGATGAGAAAGTTGAACACCATTGAAACGGTATAATCCATCATTGCCCAATGTTCCTTCTAACATGAGATTCCTGTGATTTGACACAGCAAGACAGTGGGTGAAATTCAAAAAACACATTGTTGTCTCTAGCAAACTTGCTAACACTGACTAAATTCTTTGTAATAGAAGGGACAAGAAGTAAATTTTGAAGATAGAGATTTGTGTGTGGTTTGAGAGGAGAGGGAAAATAAGAGGAACCAGTAGCTCGGACTTGCAGACCTTGGCCATTGCCTATGAAGATCTGATCAAAACCTGAAAGTTGAGTACTCTGAAGCAGGTTTTGAGGTTCAGCAGTAACATGATGGGATGCACCTGAATCAGGATACCAATCTAGTGCTGGTAGTTGTGAAGGAGTAGGGAGAAGTCCTCGTTGAACTGTTGTATTTTGCTGTGAGGAAGAATGCTGTTGTGGAAGAGATGTGAGCATAACTTGTGGAGACTGAACAGTGTTTGGATGGCCTCACATACTGAAATGACCTCTGATGTGAAAAATTGGGAGTTGACCGGAAAAACTGAGGTGCTTCTGGTGCTGGCAGTGTAGGAGTAAAGTTCTCATCAAACCTATGCCAACAATTGTGAACATCATGTCCAAATTTGTAACACAACTGACATTGCAGATTGTTGTGACCTCCACGACCTCTACCACGATTGTTTCTGCCAAAAAATCTTCCTATACCTCTTCCTGATAAGTTAAATCCAGTGTTGTGTGCTTGACCAAGGGAAGTTGAGATCAAAGGAGCAGTGTTGTTGGAGTTATCATTATGGTTAGAGTTTGAACTCTTTTGAGCAACATTCACTCACATTGATTCAGATAACAGTACCTCATTTTGTTTAGCCAACATCATCTCGTGTGCTATGAGCTCTATTCGCAGATCATCTAGAGCATATGGATTTTCACGTGCACGAACTGAGGAGACAAAGGAATTGAATTCAGGTGGAAGTCCATCCAGAATTATCTCTGTTTGTTCATCCAATGGAACTGGATGCTTTATAGCTTTAAGCTCATCATAGATCGTTTTTACATGTCGAAGGTACTCCACTACTGATCTACCTCCTTTCTTGATGGTTCGAATTTCAGATCTGAGTTGGCGTAGCTTTGAACGCATCATTCCATGAAAAAGTTTATGGATCTGTTCCCATGCTTCACATGCATGTTGAACTCCTAGTATCTCATTGAGTATTTCTTCAGTAATCGTTGAAAGAAGCCAAGAGAGGAGCATTTGATCTTGCCGTATCCAGTCAATGTAAGCTGGATTCACGATCTGATCGATTCTGTTCTGCTCTGACTCATACTGCAATGGAATTTTGGGATTAACAAGAAAAGAATGAAGCTGATGAGATGTAATCACCAGTTCTACAACTTGACTCCAAAGAAGATAGTTCTTCTCTGTTAGTTTAACAGAGATCTGATGATTGAAGAGTTGTGGAGCTTTGTTTTCTGCCATTGAATCTCTAGACGATGCGGAAGTCATGGTGTGGATCTGTATCAGGCCCTCAACGAGAAGGCTCTGATACCATCAAAGAGAACGAAAAGCAACAGAGAAAAACAAGAACAAAGAGAGAGAGAGAGAGACGAACGAAGAAAGTATTTCAGCATTATGAAAATTGAATGAATCTGTACACATGGCTCTATTCTAATATATGAGAGCATAAGGGGGAGTGACTCAGCAATCAGGTACAACAGCTGTAACAAATCAATTACAACAGCTGTAACCACAATGTAACTAAATACAAATTGTGTAACTGAATTGGAACTACAGATGCAGCAAGATAAAACTATATCTTGTGTTAATAATAATTAACCTTTAAATCAGCACCAGCACAAAATACACCGGGAACTGAACTGCAGATCATAACAACATTAGCATAAGAGTTCTGATTAATCAACTCAAACACATGACTTAAGCCTCGTAGCATATCTTTCCCTATAGCATTTTTAGCTCCAGGCTTGTCCAACCTAACCTCCAAAATACCTATAAATAAAAGTTTAAACATTTTATTAACTGTGGATTTGTAATTAAAAAACAACTATAAACACACAATAATTTATCTTCTGCACTTTCGTTTCCATCAATTACAGTTACGAGTCGAACTCCAAAACAGAAAATAGAAAAAAATAAAATAAAATTACCGGAATCTTCGCCAGTGAGTTTGTGAAGCTTGACGAATTCAGAAGCGGAAGATTCCAGAATAAGATTCCTTCGCCTCTGGTGCCGATACACTGTGATGAAGTTGAGATTCGATTTGCAACTTTTCGCGTAAGAGCTGCTCCTCAGAGACCTACCCAACACTCTCAAAGCGCACATTTTTTATTTTATTTTTTTATTTTGAGATTGAGTTGAAGTTCACTTCTCTTATCCTTCTTACAAGAAGAGACTTTCTTCTTTTCAATTTCAACCTCTTTGATCCCACGAGGAGTTCTTATTTGGCTTATTTAAGGGATTATATTTTCTCCGGCCCCTTGAGATGTTTCTTTTTTGATAACTGGATATGTTTGTTTTTTTTTTTTTTGAGTTACCCAACCCTAATTATCTCTTTGAGACGAGTTGGCTCTTTCCAGTATCCCCACGAGCTTCGACTCTTTGAGCCGGCTATGGGACTAATCCGGAGTGCGGGGGAATAGTGATGGCTAAAGGTTCAGCCCCCTCCCCAAGAATGCATTCAGCGGGAATCGAACACATATTCAACCCCACTAACTCAGCGCAAGTTACCAACTGAGCTGCACTCATTGGGTACTGGATATGTTTCTTTTTCCTGCAGTGCACATACATGGAAACCATTATAACATGTTTTACTTTTATTTATTTTTTTACGGTAAAGCCGATGTTGATTTCCTCACAAAAAAAAAATACAGTCTTCACTTTCATCTTTCATAAAAACAAAATATTTATATTAATCTTTCTTTTAGAGTGAATTAGATCTTAATTGAATTTACGAGGGATTACATTTTCAAAGAACTGAAATTATAGATAAATCAAAAATCGACCATATTTTTTATGAGGCACTCAAAAATAACTTTACTTTCTTTTTTAATTAAGCAATGGACCCACTTTAAAAATCTGTCTCCACAACTGAGAATTTTCCCGTTAAATGAGAGTACATTTTATCCTTATTTAATTAATTAATTATGTTAATTCTTATTACATCCGATTTAATGTTTTCATAAGAGATAAATTTTATTTTTTATACATACGTTAAAAGAATATGTGGATTTATGTTTTATTTTTATCTCTTCTCCTCACATGGACCTATATATATATATATATATATATATATATATATATATATATATATATATATATATATATATATATATATATAGGCTTATCGTTTTTCAAGCTGCTTGAGATAATCTTATCTCCGGCTACTAAATCATAACCGTATAAAGATTGATCAATTGTGATAAAGGGAGAGAGAGAGAGAAAAAATGAATCATAACCATTCAAAGATGAATCAATTAATATAAAGAAATATATAAACAAAACGACGTAGTTTTGAGGTAGCCGGAGATAAGATTATCTCAAGCGGCTTGAGAAATGTTTTTCCTTATATATATATATATATATATATATATATATATATATATATTAGAGCTGGCAAAATGGGTCGAGCCCGCCGGGCCGGCCCGCCCCGCCCGCCAAACGGGGCGGGGCGGGCTGAGTTTTCTAAACCCGCTACCCGCCAAGCCCGCCTGGGCTGATTTTTTCTTTTTAAAAATTTTAGTGTAAAATGTGACGGGCTTGGCGGGCAGAGATATCTAGCCCACCTTCAATGGCGGGGCGGGGCGGGCCAGCCCGCTTTTTGGCGGGCTTTTGGCGGGCAGCCCGCTTTGCCACCTCTAATATATATATGGGGTAGGATTCTTTGACATCGATATCAAATTTAAAGTTTGACACCTCGTCTGAGAGTCGTTAGATAAAAAACATCAATGGTGTCACATACTTATAAGTCAGGATCGTTGATATTTTTTTATCTAACGACTATTATATAAAGTGTCAAACTTTAAATTTGACACTGGTATCAAAGGATCCTACCTCTCTCTATATATATGTATATATATATATATATATATATATATATATATATATATATATATATATATATGTATGTATACATATATATGTATATAAGATGAATTTATATCCTACAACATGAGAAATAGGATAGGGATTTTTTGAATCCGGTGTAAAATTTAAAAGTCTTATTCCTCATTTTAACCGTTAATTTTTGTCCATCTATCTGTTATTATTTATTTGAAATCAATAATTAATTAATTGATATAACTCAATAAATAAATTAATATTAATTATCTATAAATTCCTTTGTATCTAATTTTAATATTAATTAGGTTTATTTTAACATGATATGCAGTGTGATTTTTTTCTAATTACTTTCTCGCTAGCTGTATTTTTTATTTTGATTTTTTTAGTTTTATACTTTAAAATAATAAAAGATTTAATGTTTCTTTTGTAAAAAATAAATAATTTTATTTCCGGTGAAACTAAGTAAAAAAAAGTTATCCTTTTTAATCTTTCCCTCGTAGGTCCCGCTCATTTTCATGTGTATGGAGGATGTTCTGTCCTAAAGACAGAGATGTCTAGTCTAATGAACTAGTGAGTTTATTTTGGATCTAGGTGCTCTCATATCAATGAATGAGATATTTTTGAGTATAGCAGATCATCTTAATATATAGAAAGGAGAATAATAATCTTAATATATAGAAAGGAGAACCAAACTTTGGAAACTTTGCTGACGTGTCACTTCCTTCTTAATTCTCATCTTTGTGTTCACACTAGAGATAGTTTGAAAAGTTACTTCTTTTAGAAATATTTTTTATTTCGTAAATAAAAAAAGTCTACAAAGGAGGGAGAGTTTCTTTTAAATCATTATAAAATACTTGGTGGCAAATCTTAATATATAGAAAGGAGAACCAAACTTTGGAAACTTTGCTGACGTGTCACTTCCTCCTTAATTCTCAGCTTTGTGTTCACACTGGAGATAGTTTGAAAAGCTACTTCTTTTAGAAATATTTTTTATTTCGTAAATAAAAAAACTCTACAAAGGAGGGAGAGTTTCTTTTAAATCATTATAAAATACTTGGTGGCAAACAACTGTATTAATGATGTTCTCAATTCAAAATTCGAAATTGAAATTTGAAATGGGTGGGAAGTGTATTAATTGAAATTGAAATCAGTCACCTAACAATTAAGTTCCCTCGACTATTTTTTGCATTGGTAATGGTGAAGTGTATTCTACAAGCTAATTTTTTTTTTTTTTTGATAACATTCCACAAGCTAATTTTTTTTTTAATAAATAAATTACGAATTTGCCTATAAATAGGGAAGTGTTGCTTCTTTTTTTGTCTTGCTTACATTTTTTTTTTCGTTCATGTGTGTAGGATTGTTCTATTGGTATAATTTTCTGTTTCTTTATGAACAAACCCTATGAATTTATTTTCATAAATTTTATACTGACTGGTTTATTCATTTTTCAGGATGGAAGGAATCATAATACTACCACCACATCTCATTTTCTCAGTGCAGCGGTAAGATTTTTTTTTTAAATAGTAACAAAATTTTCTCACTGCATCTCATTGTTCTTTGTTCCTTTTGGATTTGTGAATCTGAACTTTTTTTTATTGAATAATGTTCGAAGCTTTGCGTTCAAAGATTTGCGTGGATAGATCTGCATCTGTTATGGCTTTAAAGTGAAAACAATTAAAAGGTAAAATCATAGGATATTTTTCTTAGATCTGATCTACATATCTACATCTGTTATGGTTTTTTTTATTTTCCCACTTCTCTCTCATTTTTCTTTCGATTCTTCCAATTCATCTCTTGCAATCAATCTTGAACCTGAGATGGATCGATATTTTGTTTATCTTTTGTTAGAGCGGGTTGGTCATGGAAGTAGATTTGATGATCATTTGTTCAGCAAACGAGCTTGGAAGCATATGTCCTCAATGTTCAATGCGAGGAAACAAGTGAACAATTGTCGTCCTTACGGTGGGTTCACTTTCAACTATTATACTATTTGAAAGCGCATGTGGAGTTTGCAGATCTTCAAAGAAGAGCTAAACTTGCTGTTGTAAGCTGTGAAAGACTGAAGAAGATATGGGTTACCCTCTTTTGATTTTTCAATTTTGAAGCTTCCCTTTTTTTTCTTTTTCTTTTTCTTTTATTTGAATATGCATCACACAGTTGTGGCTCCATAATAACGAAAAAGATATATTATTATATATTCTTTCCTTTTCTCATTTATTTTTTTATTTTTTATTTTATGTATGACTTTTATTATGTATCCTTTGTATATCCTTCTTATTTTCTTTTTATTTCTCTAGCGAAATTAAATGTGAATAAATTATTGAAATTAAATGTCTACATTAATAAATGTCTACGTAAATGATAAATCATATTTCACAATCATTCTTGGCTTTATAATGTCCGATGATTTTATCTAGCTTTCATTTGACGTATAATAAAAACTAAGTAAATGTCTACGTTAATAAAAAGTTTAATTTGACTTATAATTGTTAGTATATGGATGTCCTAGAGACAATCTTTTAATTAGATTAGGACATATGTGTGTCGCAAATAAATAAAAGCACTATTTATCCTGTTTCATATTTTGTCTCAATATTACTGTTAATATTTTATATGAGTAACTGGATAAACCCCTTGGAATAAAATATGTATCTCTTGAGTATCTGTGATGAGATCACGATCATGATGATTCAAGGATACTGGATATTTATTCCTAATTTTATGTTCCTAGTCTAGAGACACTGAGAATGGGGATCAGTGATCTCGGGTAAGACTAGCACGACTTATCTACTTGTATTCAGATGCAAGGTAAAGACCTCATGAGCTACAGATATTGAGATGTCTTAGCTAAAGTCGTGGGTGGACCTATAAGGGTATAGCTCGCACTGAACAGACCCACAAAGAGACTCTATGAGGAACTCTCACAGAGAGTATCATTAGAGTAGTCTCTTTATATTTGGGTATGTTTTTCCTTAGACCAGAAGTTATTACCTAGACTGTGTTCTAGAAGGCATGCTTTGATTGTGCACCTCGTCTGCCTGAAACATGGAGACTCATAGGTATATTGTTGGGCTTGTCCTGAAAGAACACGGGGCTAGGGTGATAAGCTGAAGCTGAAGGAATTCGTCAAATCTCTGTGAGAGATTAGGTTATCTGTAAACCGGAGAAATCAGGATGACATTTATAGGGACTCGGGAATCTATGCATAGTAAAAGAGATCATGAGATGATCTGCCTTTAGAGTTTGTAAATTGAAGATTCCCTATTTCGAATAAAGCTTACCCTAAACCGCAGGGGTTGATACGCTTCCTTACCCTAGGTTTTATGGGAAGGTAACCGAGACGAAAGGAAATAT